CTCCTCATGAAAAGCCCTGTATAACAACAATTGTCGTCTGAAGCTAAAAATGTGACTATATTCTGGGTAAATGTTACCGGTGATATTAATGTCAAACCTATTTTGATTTTTTTGAAGGTGGTTGACAATGTTCACCGAAGATATCAAAAAAATTTAACTATTAACACGAGCTGAAAAATTAAAAAATTATTAACAAGAAATGTCGTTCGTATGGGGGCGACAGCTGATTAACGGAAAAACAGATTTCAAACAGATTTTAAACAGATTTATAGGTCGTTCGACTGCTTTCAACTATCCCCTCTTCCCTCTTTCCGCTTCATTGGTTTTTAGCGGGAGCTCACGGTTTGGCGGGAGTTGGTCGTGTTCCGCTTGATTAGAGGTTTCCATTTGTTGAAGTACAAGTAATGGTTGTGACGGCTTCTGTTCCTTGTGGAGATCTTGCTGTCTTTTAGCTAAAGCCTGTTCCTTCAATTAATGTAGTAGGGTCTCTTACGATCTTCGTGTATTTTCCTTTCTGAAGCACCTTTTCGATCTTCTGTTCGTAGAGAACAGTATCCATCACAACAGTAGCGTTTTCCTTATCTGCAGGTAAGATCTTGATGGTGTTGTCTCTACATAGCTCGTTCAGGGCTCTCGATCTAGCTGTTCTCTGATTTTCCATCTGAATTATTCTGCCTCGATCTGATCAATAAGGGAACTGGTGGATTCCACTGTAATTTCAGTTTTTTGCTTAATAAAAATGTTTTTTCAGCTGATCTTTTTATTTTTCTTACAGATTCTTTCAGGGATTTCAATTCAATTTATATCATATTAGACAATGGGAGTCCGAACTGTTGAAATGCTATTTTCTTGAGTTCTGCAAATTGAGAATATCATGTGGAATTGAAGGACTGATATTGGAAATGACCAATTTGTCTGAAAGGGATATTAGTCTACAGGTTCTAATATTATCTTCGCCTATGTTGATACATCCGTGTTCTTTGAAAAATATGTCGACGATAGGTCCTAACTGAAGAAGGTATTCTTGTAGTTATGGCATTGAAGACAATAGCTTGGCCCTTCGTAGGAAAATTACCAGGTAATGGTTTACTCACTGCAGATGAGTATGAACGAAAATTGGCAAATGTTCTGAAGTGATTGAGTTGCTAGGTGGAAGTTCGTGGGTGGACAAAACACCCATCGTATCATCGATCATCCTGTCTTCAAAATAAAGAGCATCTGCCCTAATGCCGGCTCTGCCTCGAAAAGAAGAACGATCGACGATAAGGTTTTTGCAGGATAAGGATTCCAAGCCTTGTTTTCTATAGCAGATTTTCGCTATTTACAGCATATCAAATGTGATTTTGTAAGTACTAACTAATTGATTGGGCAGTTGGCTACTATAATTATATCACACACAGGTTAATTTCACTAATATAGATTACTATTCAGTCAGAAATACTCGGACATGAACGTATTAGCTTTTAAGCGTCTAATCTGTTTGTTCTTTCTGTTATTTATAAAAATGTCTTCTGAAGGTCTATCATAAAATACTCACGTGTTTTTCCACTCTTCAAGTATTTTGCGCTCAAGGTGTTGATGGAAAATACCAAGCCGTGGTGATTGTAACTCATCGTGTATCCAGGTAAATGTCCTGCGTAACAGAGAGACGTGAATTTTTCTTCTTTGACTTTCCACTTTCCGCAAGGTTTGTCCGAAATAATGTGGGCTGATACGAAGTAAAAGTGGTTAAGAGTGTCAGAAAGTGCGTCCTCTGTATGACCCAAAATTTCCTGTGGAATAGATTCAAAGAATGAGTATATTTTGAATATTTTTCAAAGAAATTTTGATATTTATGATTTGTTAGTAGATTCTGTTCGTGAAACTGCTAATTACTTTCCATGAAACTTGAAACTCTTCAAATCATATTGAAACAATACAGTACACAGAAAATTCAAAATATGCAAAAACCAAATCGAGTATCTGGAATTCAAAAACCGGCGAGCGCGTTCCGAGGAACTCATTCAACGTGATTCTCTATAGTATTCTAAAAATATTGAGGACTAGTTGTTACCCATGGCTTCGCCCGCGTAGAATTACATTACATTGTTTCGTGACATACCATTTTGAACAAATAGTTACAATATTTTTATCAATCCAAAATTTCAGGTTTCCAATTTCAAAACTGACGGATTTCAATACAATATTTGAACCCCCTATTTTCCCCCTTGGGGATGGAAATTCCTGATTCCCTTTCTTTATGCTTATTTACGCTATACAAAGAACCCACCTGCATATTTCAAGATTCTAGGTTCAGTAGCTTCGGCTGTACGTTAATATAAGAGCGGGCAATAGCTAGTACCATAAACGACGTCTGCTCTCACGTGTCTGCCTGCGTTCGGGTCGCGTTCTCGGCGATAGCGCTTCATTGCTTAGACCTTTATCCTTGCGCATCGTCCCCCGTCGTCTTACAGTAGACGCGTTGCGTGAAGTTATTCTTATCGTGATAACTGTTGAACGATTCATCCAAATTTGACAGATATTCTTCAATGTGCATTGTAAAAAATGGATATTTTTACATATAGTGGCTACCACATAAGAGGTAGATTTATGCTATGGGGGAATTTTATTTAGAACTATTCAAAATAAACAATCTCACGGTACATTATCTGCATGTACCTAACTCCAACGGTGTAGGCAGCGGATGTTAAGATAGCTATCAGGGAGCAAGAAGTTCTCCGACTTACTAAATACGTATCGTTAAACTCGTATCATGACGAAAACTACACGAAACCTTTGTAAATTGTAGCCTTTATGTTATTCTGATGTATAAGCTGTATATACGTAAAGTTTCATCTAAATCTGTTCAGTCGTTTAGGCGTGAAAGAGCCACAGTTATAATCCTTTTGAAACATCAATAAACGGGAACAAACTTCATTATCTTTCAGTATCTTCTAACAGTTTTTGTACCTTCTAGTTGTACCTCTATTCAGATGTAGCTACTCATCTGTGAGAATTCAAGCACATAATTCAGGAAAAGTATAAAAAACATCATTTGACATTTGGTGAAGTCAAAATGACGTCTCTGTACAAACCTCCGATAAACCCGAGGAAGACGTTAACGCTGTGAAGAAAATTCGAAAATTCACGTGTAGGAAGTGTCTTTATGAACATATCCCACTTATGACACCATGTTTATGAGCCTTTCAAAACATCAATGAACGGAAACAAACTTCATTTTCTTTTAGTATCTTCTAACAGTTTTTGTACCTTCTAGTTGTACCTCTATTCTTGTTATCTGCCGTCATGACAACCACCCTAGCTGACAATCTTTTATACAGGGTAATGAACATACGTATGCCACAAATATACATACAACATATCAATCCTCAGAAACTTTCATATTTATAATATTAGTATAGAGTATAGTTGAAATCAATAGGAACTCAAAAATGTTTTGGAAAGAACATTGTCTCGCTTCTGCTATATATTTTCAATACATCATTGCAGAGTGTAATTTTTTCTGCTAAAAGCAAAATTTCGCATATTGCACCAATATAGAGTGGCGATAGACACAATGTTAGGCCGATCAGTAAATTATGCGTATTTGGCAAACTTTTTGAAAAAGTAATATTCAATAACATCCTTGATACGGTCAAGCACATTTGGTTGAAGCTGGAATGATTCTGCAACCGTGTTAGGAATCACACGTTAAAAGGTAAGATCTCATTAGTCCTTAGCTCACACAAGTTTCTCAACTTCTGAGAGTTGTCGTATGGGGGCGACAGCTGATTAACGGAAAAACATATTTTAACAGACAGACAGAATTGACAATTAGAAAAAATCGTCAATAAATTCAGTAAGATTATTGTATTCTCAACAGAAACTGTCGAAATTTCAGAACGGCAAAACCTTTCCTCCATTTATATTATGCATGTGTACATAGTAGGCTCTGCTTTGCATCGCTTGTTTGGATTCCTCAGTACCATATGTACATACAGTTTCCGACTTTCCGACATTTCTTCATATTTTTTTTTCACTTTTCAACATAGTCTCCTTCTAACTCTACCCACTTCTCCCAGCGATTGTTCCATCTCTGTAATCCGTCAAGGTAGTACTCCGCAAAATAATTGTTCAAGAAGGTGATTGCATCTTCATTTGGAGAAAATTCTTGTCATTCGAGCGCAATCTTCAGTTCAGGGAACAGAAAGAAGTCGCGGACGATTAAGCAGTTCAAACCATAATTCCCAGCCGAAAAAACAGTTTTCGCCTTTTTTGGAGCCGGTTCCCCCTTTGCAGTTCGTTGTTTGGACTGTATTTTTGTTTCGGGCGTATAATGGTGTGAGTTTCATCTACAGTAAGTAATCGGCGCTAAAACTTGGATTTATTGCGCCACTCGAACACTTGGTCTAACGTGAGCAAACGCGGCACCTAACGCGTGAAGAGCTTTCTCGTGCCTGAATGCTGATTTAATATGTGACAAACACGTTCTTTTGACATGTTCATCATTTGGTGAACTATGGCGTTGCAGTTTTTGGACGGGCCGAATGTTCATCGTCTCGAATTTACACGGACACGTGTAAATTCATCTGCCTAAAATTTCACTTCAGTAAATGATTGTACAGAGTCCTCATACAGAGAATCCAACTCATGCATATTGCCTTTGAAAAACAAATATAGGTTCTCATTTATTTGATGGAATTCTGATCGGAGAAACTTGACACCATGTCGATTTTCAAAAACTATTTGGATGATCTGCCTTTGGCTAACTATATCAACATCTGGTTTCAACATGATGGTGCTCCATCGAACACTAACAGACAAGTATCTAATTATCTGACTGAAAAGTTTGGTGATAAATGAATAGGGAATAATGGGCCGGTGAGGTGGCCAGCAAGGTCTCCAGACTTAAGTGATATGGATACCATCTTATGGTGTACACTGAAAAATATAGTTTATGGTCAGAGGGAATATCAAAATATTGTGCAGTGAATAATATTCGAAGAAGGGCACAGTTGTGTTATCATGAACAAGGCCAGCATTTTGAGCATTTGCTGTGATTTAATTTTGTCTTTACATTTATTTAATTATTGTTATTTGTTCAAAGTTCTATTTTTATTGAAAAGGACACGATGTCTAATTTACCTCATACACACCTCATTTATCAAATTTTGATTGTTCATTCTGTCTCCGTATTTTTTCATTGTCTTTCCAAACGAACCAAACACGGTGAGTTAACTATCTTCGTATCTCTCATAGTTTCCGAGATCCCAATGGTGAGGATCGAATTTGTAACACCCTGTATAGATCTTATTGAGAGAGTCCAAAACAAATGTCTTTGTTCAAATTACGAATAGCGACTACAGTCCCTAGCTACTCGTGGGGCTTTCATGGACAGAGTGAACTTAGATGTGAGTCTACAGAGGAGATGGATGTAGAGCTTACGACCCCAACTGACCTCCCTGTGAATTTAGATCAGGAGCGAGAGCTTCTCAACTCTCCAACTCCTGATCCAATAACTGAACCTAAAAAACGGTTTGGTGGCGCAGCCAGCAAACGACTGAGTCGTCTCCCAAGAGCGGGGTACCTTATGAAACCGCCTTGCACCAAATTGTTGAGCGGCGTACGCAGAATCTGTCTCAGGTGGAGGAAAAACCCCCCCCCATGAGCAGGTTAGCAAACGTTCGCGCTCAAGTAATGATACACCAAACCAGAGGCGAAAAAGCATTGCACGGCTGAATCTAAGGCATCGTTATGTGTAGCTGACGTGCAAAAACCCTCATATGGGAAGGTTGTCGCGAGTATCAAGGTGTGAATCTTGCGCCTTCACTATCCGACTACCTCATTAACGATGAAACAGCAGAGTATAATACTTTGTGCCTGCCCCTCTGGGGACCGAATCAGGTTTTTAGAGTTCGGCAGAGCCGTACTCTTACCATCTGACCTGAAAGACCACTCACCATACAAACTAATCGGCTTCGTTAAGAAGCTGGGTTTGTTTAGTCAAGTGTGAATATGTGTGAGCCACAATAAACCCTTGCGAGTTACGTTGGAGGGTTGAATAGATCCACTCACTTTGGACTTAACCTAACCTAACAGTCCCATTATGCGTCAATACAATACGATGCCCATGAAGGATAGAAGAACTGTCACGGATCTCACCATGATTTCAAGGTAATGAAAGGATTAATTCACTGTCCAGAGCTTTATACCAAAATTTTGTTCAATGTTAGGGGTAGAACGTTTATTGAATACTCAAAACCTTCAATGAATTTTGCAACAATATTCAATATTTTCAAATTTCTTAGAACTTTTTGGGAATTATTCCACAACGAATGTTTGATATACAAACTAAGTAGAGAAAAGTATCTTCTGTATAATTCAGTGTTCATATAGAAGTATTTTGTATTCATATTTCAGTATGTTGAAAAAAATTCTTAATATATTTGGATTTTTGAATTGTTCAAGGGTTATATTACGAGTGCATCAAGTTTTTCACCATCTTCATATAAACTGATTAAATTTTTCTCCATCGCTATTATGCATATTAGTGATTCAAAAATCCATTGTCTAAAATTATTGACAGATTATCCCAAGACGATTGTGGATACAGAAAATAAAAACCTTTTGATGAGTAATTTGATAATGCTCTCATTAGTTGATAGAAAATATTTTTCTGCACGAACATCATCGGTTTCATGTCTAGACACCAGGACGACCTTTTGTTTATGAGAGATATGAGACATTTTCAGGTAACAATTCAGATTAGATGTTTGAGGTGTTGAAAAAACGGTTTGGTGTTGGGAAAGAAACTCCAGTAATATTCATTACCACACCAAAGGTTCCAAACAGATAGACTTATAGATTCATAGACTTTATACAGCGTGTCTTCAATCGGGACTACCGGTTGACCTTGAATGATACTCTAAATAGTTACTCTGCCCTCTATCTCAAAAATGGTTCAAGATATATAAATATTTTTTCAAATTGAGGTTGTAGAGAATTCAATTCTCTACAACCTCAATATTTACAATCAATACAAATATCATAAAACCCATAGCAAACGAGATGTTTGCAAAAAATAGTTTTTTTATCTTTGACCTTGGATATCGGTAGTCGCGGTCATCCTATGTAAGGTAAGTTTCGAGACAAGTTTAGGGTGTCAAAATGAAGATTTATACAAGTTTATAGCTGACCATTCGTATCTCCGATTCCGAGATACTTGCCTTATTTTGACTAATATGACTGGATTAATTTGAATAGCTGTTTATATACTGGCTGCACTCTCTAATTACCTAACAAATTCATTAGAATCGATATTGAAATCCGAGGAAAAAGGTTGGATAACTTTTATAATCCAATAAATTAATTGAATTAGGAAGCAATAAAAGATTCCGATTTCCGTGAAACAAATCGAAATGTTATAAAAAATTTTTGAATGTACTTACGTATTTTGATGCGTAGATTACGAATCCGAAAGAAAAAAGCGATGCTCTCCCTTATTTACAAAGTTCCCACCCTTCAAAGTTCAGAAAAGGGCAACTTTTCAGCCTTTTTTCACAAGATAAACTATTTAAAAACATCAACATTTATTCACTAGGTCACCTTTACACCTTATTCCTCCTTCCTTGACACTTTTCAGGCTGTAAAGTTGCCCTTTTCTGAACTTCAAACGGCCGTAACTTTGTAAATAAGGGAGAGAGCACACTCAAAAATTTTTTCAAAATCTCCGGGTTCCCTCTAAACAAACATTTACCAAAAATAATATCTTTCATAATATCTCTGAATCGGTTTTGGGTCTTTTTTTCATTTTTAGTAGTGCAAAGCACGCATAAAAATACATTTTTTTGTTGGTGAAGGATCTCTTAATGTTCACCAGTAGCATGCCTGTTATTATGCCCTGCTACATTTTTTATCAAATCATGATAAGTCACTGTCCTTTTGCCAAATAAATATTATTTCAGTAATTCTGTCTGTCTGTTTTTCCGTTAATCAGCTGTCGCCTCCATACGAACGACAATTCTCGGAAGTTGAGAAACTTGTGCGAGCTAAGGACTAACGAGGTCTTACCTTTTAACGTGTGATTCCTAACACGGTTGCAGAATCATCCCAGTTTCAACCAGATAAATTCTCTCAAGAAAAATATCTGGTCGAGGCGGGAATCGAACCCACGACCTTCCGATCGTGAGTCGGGCACCTTTTATCTTCTAAAAAATATGGGTTCTTGCCTTTTTTTCGTCCGCCAAACGGTTTTTGGGGTAGAAAATAAAATGCTTTAATTTGCTTGTCCCTATGCGAAATCAGCCGTTGAAGTGTAGTAGGGTTATTTTGTGGGCTAGATACATACAGTGCATTTCTTTAATGCCCCCCTTTCATTTTTTGAACGGGTCAATTCGAAAAATTTAAATTTGAAATAATGAAATCAATGCATGAATACTTTATTCTGAAGTAAAATCAACAGATGAAACTTTCAAGATGGCGACTGTGCGCCATCTTGAAAGTTGTTACCAATATAGACAATTTTGAAACTTCTCTAATTAGCTACGTGTTATTATATACGTCATAAATCTTGTTTTGGAAAAAAAAACATGGTGAATTTTACAAATATCGAATTAGCAAACATGCATTACGAGGGTAGTCCCAGAAGTACCAATCCTGACATTGAGATGGCGGTAGTTGTTTGAAAAATATCATTGTATTAGAGAGTACACAATCTATAAAGCATATGTTTCAAGTTTGAAGACGCTGCAGCTGGTGCCAGCGTTTTCTCCAATCCTCAAAGCACTTCTGATATGCACTTTTTGGTACGGCCTTGAGCTCTCTCACTGAATCAGGTCGGGAACAGACAAGAGACTAGACAGTTAAGTAAGTCTCTAGTTTTTAATTGTATAAGATCGAATCTCACAGGGTAGTTGATTATAATGTTTGGGTGCATTATACAAGAAGCAGCGGGTGAATATGTAAGATTTGTGTTAGTATGATTGTGCCAAACTTTAACATTATGAGTGATCATCACTATGGCTTACTGTATGGTGCTCAGGGGCTCGTGTGATTAACTTTTTTTCAAGGACAAAACACAAGACACAACAATCCTCAAGACGCTCTGAGAGGGGTGCCTGTGCGAAAGACGCGATTCACGTTGGATATCAATCGCTGGAGAACAAATTCATTTGGAAAAACGTTTTCAGGAAGTTTATTCCACATGAACGCAGTTCTCCAGATGGAAGAGTTCACAGTCCGTCGCGTATTACTGATATGTACCGCTCTTGGTGGAATCAAATATGCCAAGTCACTTGAACACCTCCCTGAAAGAGAAACAAATCTTCAACCTTTTTTCGATGTTCTAGACCAGGGGTCTCCCAACTACGTCCCGCGGGCCAAATCCGGCCCGTCAGTGTCATCAATCCGGCCCGCCAGTGTCATCAATCCGGCCCGCGACAGCCAATGATTTCCTGTCATCAATATGGCCCGCGACAGCCAATGATTACCTAATTGTTGTTACTATTGCTGTGATAAGTTGAAGAAGAAAACACAGAATGATAATTACTCGGTTTTATTTACTTGCAAGGTAAAACTTAACGACAGAAATGATGACAAAGAAAACTTAACTTAAGTATCTAAGTTTAAGCATATTAATAACTAACAAATAATTGAAATGAATCACAGTAAAA